GATTTTTAGGTTGATTATAACCTCCCAGATCAACTCTTGGGAAGAACACAATCATCATCCTAATACGCATCCAGAGATGAATTTCTGCTAGAGTTAGAGAAATAGTACTTTTAAAATGAGATTTCACTTTGGGATATCTGAGCCAAAACCATTTAAGATTTGCCTAAAAAGGACGAAGCTCAATGACTATGGCAAATGTACAACAGAATTGATGGCAATCTTGAGAACGTGGCTAACAAGATAATGGACTGACTACCAGGATGTCTGTTGTCTGTCAAATGATGGAATACACAGAGATGTAAACAAGACTGTTTGTAATACTGTATAACGTGACTGTACAAACAAGAGTATGTATGTCCAAACACAGCAATTAAATATATAGAGAGCATGCATTAAACAGATGGTGCTGATAATTATTTTAGCTTAGCATATGGATAATGTTAAGTGCTAAGAATGAATGGTAGACACATCCTGGAAGAGAATAAACAATAGATTAATTTATTAATATTTTTTAAAAATTGCCAGGAAAGTTTTGGTTTTGTGTGTCAGTTCTCTCACTTTCGGTTCTTCTTCTGCCTCAGTCAGTATTCCCATTTGGAGTGCACTAAGGGTTTTAAGTTTTGCTTAAAAAACTCGAGCTCAGATATGTTGATTCTCATACTTTCATTACCACTAGTCACCTCATCTTTGTCCCATGTTCAACATCTTTGAAAGTACATTTCTTGTTTCACCATATTATTATTAAGTTGAACCATCCAGACCACACAGCAGCTTCACTTCTTTTCTTCTCTTCTACTTACATGGAAAAAAACAAACCAAAGCAAACAAGCAATAAAGCATCACAAAATTTAATGCAGCTTGGCCTTAGGTAATACTGCAAGTTTTCTGCTTTCTGACTTACAAGGCCCAGGTTTCTGTGCTAACTAATCCTTTTCTTCCATTCCTAGTGGCCTATAGATCATTTAATTTATATTTCTATTCAACCAATCACATCTAAGTTTATTTTCGTACCTCTGATTAAAAGAAATGCCATATTTTTCTGCTTCCTGATCTCTGAATTCTTCAATCTGAATTCTTCAACTTAATTTTTCTTTATCCCTTATTTTCACCAAGTTTGTTCCCTTAAAAACTGAGAGCCACAGTTATAGACCTACTGTTCTTCACCCTTTCATTTAGTCAATTAAATTGAATGAACTGATAATCTTGGTTTAGGGGTTTTGGTTTTTTTTTTTTTTTAGTAATGTCCTCCTGTCTCACTGAACCAAAGCTAAGAGAGTCACTGCACAAGAGAAGAACAGGTCATTTTATTAAGGTTTTGGATGCATCATCTGGGAAGCCTGGTTTCTAGCATTATCACAGTATCTCCTCTTTGGTCTATACCTGGAAAGCTATGCTTCTACCATGTGCTTCATAACAATGATGTGGCTGAGGCAATATGACATTCTCTTAAAGAAATGTCCTGATCTAGATGTGACCAAGGGGGCTTTTGTACTCTTCACACTGTCCCAGAAGAGAGTGCATCTCAAACAACAACCCTTTTTTAGCCATGCTACTTTTTTTATTTCTTTATAATCTACCAAATTATTACCTATTTTTTTATTGATATGCTTCTGGCACAAGTCAAAGCAGCTACTGCTGTTGTTATTGCATCTTCATTCTACCCTCTCTGTCACGTTTTGTTTCATGTCCTGTATAGGACCTGATAGCTCTTCCAGTTTGCTGTCAAGGCCTCTGCACTCAGCTGGCCACAAGTAACACCCTCTTTGTACGTCATCTGTGTCAGTTCTCTGACTACTGTCCTCATCCATATGAGTAATCTTGCTCTTCATCCTTCTGTCCTATAATATTCATGTATGCATTAATGATTTTATCACCTACCCATCTTTCCTCTCCTTGTGTTTTCAAACCAGTTACAGAGGTTACACTAATTTCCTCCAGCCTTTGCTCCTGTTTGACAAAACTCCTTCGTAAAGATTTTCAGTATTTTATAGACTAGTCTCTATCTCTAACACAAAAGGATTGCTGATAGTTTTGCAATAATACTAGAAAAAGTGATGACCAAACAGGGCTTGGATTTGCTTAGGAGCCAAGGTTAGACCATCAAGTCTCCTCCATCAACGTCTGAATGAAAGGTATGGTGCATTGGATGTATGCTATTTCCTACTGTCTGAAATTTGATAAAAACCTCATCATAAGAAACTAGTTAGAGCACATAAGAACTCTTGGGTCCTGGAGTTAGTTTTATTTGACTGTTTCTAGGCTAGAAATAGTCTGTTTCTATTTCCCAGGACACAGCATTGTAAATGTGTGCAGTGGATGGGGATGATTACTACAGAGCAATGATATAAGCACAAATAATATAGTCTGACATTAAATTTTCACCAAGACACTAATCCGATACCTACTTTCAGTATAGTTTTCTGGTCAGATTCTGCTTTCTGATAGACAAAGTGCAACCTCAGCTGGTTTCAGGAAACTTTTTGTTATCGAAAGGAAAATACTTCTCCCATTTAGACACTTCTCTTACATGTGAGTGCCTATGGATAAAATTAAGGTGTGTGTCATTCTATGTAACTGCTAAATCTCAGTTCAGTAACGAATATCTTTGTTGTAGTTTCAATACTGCTATACACAAGATGGTTTTGAAGAGGGAGAATTAATTTCTCGTTGGATCAATCAAGACAGTTGCAGGAGGCCATCCAGCTTCCAGGCCTGTAAGTCCTTTGAGAGGATCTTGCAGGAGAGGTTATGTGCCCAAAGCTTGCATGATTTTCTGTCTTGTCGGTATCGGTGGACATCTTCTGAATTTCTCTACTGGCTGGACAGTCCTCAGTCAAGTTGGAAAGGGCTGCTGAGTTGCCATCTCCCAGCTCCCTGTTTTTCCCTCAGGGTTTAACACATTTTTGGGTCATCGCTTTTTCTCTCAAATCCTTTGTCTGTCAGCCACCACTCTCTCAACTTCTGTCTGTGGAAGGTTTTTTACTTTTTAACTTTTTTTTTTTTCTTTCTTTCTCATCCAGTATGGTTTTAGCTCATGATCTTTCTCACATCTTCACAGTAATTGTCTCAGTAAAACTGAAATAAGGTCACTGTGCCTCTGATTACATGGGCTCTACCCCCTGGCCTGAAGGTCACACCTTCTTGCAAACCACCAGGCAGAGTTGCAAGAGGTAGAGATATGCATCCTGTAAACTATTCCACAACTGCATTCCCTGTGAATCTTCAAGGAGGGGTTGCACATTGGCTTTTACCAGCTTAACATAGTGGTCCTTGAAAATGGCATCCTATGGTACCATGTACAGCGTAGAAGAGGTGGGAAGGATGTGGAGCTCTAACCATCTCCCTGCCTCCCCTTGCCATCTACCCTATCACTTTACAACACGTAGGATGCTGAACACTGGGTCCCTAGTAGGAGCTCTTCCTCTCAACATGCTATTGCACTGCACTACTTGGTAGTGTAAACACAGCCTTCGTAACCCCGTGGTACTCCCTTCACTGAGTGTGGAGGAGGAACAGCAAAAAAGGGGGTGTGAAAGTTTCTGAAAGAGAAGATCACCAGAACCCTAGCAAAGGGCAACTTCTGGTCAGTTGGTTGCTATTGAACAGTAAATAATCTACTGTACTAGGAGTAAACCACAAAGGGAGCACTAGGAAGAAGCATCCTCTTCCTTTTTCATCTTGAGTGTGAAAATAATTTTTACAATGAGTCACTGCTTCCCTGGAGCTGGGTCCTTGCAGACTGTGACCAAGAGCGCTTAACGCAGGCATGAAATGCTAAACAAAACAGTCTTTCTGGGTGACTTATTTGTAAGCAAAATGAAATCTATGTTGTTTAAGTACCAGAATAATTCTGTTTAGATTCAACATATGAAGCTTGATATATTGCAGCCTCTTGCATGTGCTGAGCCACACTTGTGAATATTTCACTTCTGTTTATAGAATGAACCAAAAATCAGCCTGGTCTCTAAGGCAACTACATACTACTAAAACACAGAAATAATTGCTGTTTGAATTTGCAGTGGTGATTCCTATGATTCCAGAATAATAGTCTAATGGTGACTGAAAAGAACTGTAATATTTTTTTTCCTGACTCAGCCCTGTGTAGCAGATTGCTCAGCACTATTGACCAGCTGAAATGCAAAATTTAAATGGCTCTAACTTCCACATCATAGTTGCAAAAAATGCTATCCCTGCTGATTCTGGGAATGCAGAAGAGAAAGAGGAGTTCTCAGAAGCAACAAAAAATGCATTTTGTGGTATAAAAAGACACAGAGGGACAGATTTCAGTGAAATGAGGAACCATTTCGAGTTCTTAAATTAAAAGACAAGAAACACAATATCCTACATTTGATATGTTGTTATCCTAAGTATAGATGCCTGTCATCCATTTCCTCTTAGGTTAAAAGTATCATGAAACCAAAGAACTAACCACAAAGTCACATTTGCACAGAGCTGAGGCTTGTAATGTTCCTGCTATGAAACATGAATATGGAAGAAGCTGACATTCAGCTCTTCAGAGGAAATTTTGCACATCTTGGTAGTTAAGCCCTCTCCTTGTAACTTCAGTAGTTTAATTGATTTTTTTTTTTTCTTGGTACACTGCTGAGGAAGGAACACACGTTCACATTTAATTATTGAGCAAAGTGGGCTGAAAGGTTGGCCACATTTTCACTGCTGTTTCAGCTTGTAGCCCACTTTTACAGGCAGGCTTGCAGGCTAAAAAGAGGAGAAGGCCAACTTCTTCGTGAGTCACACTTGCTACAACCAGCCAGGACCCTTCTGCCTCTTGGTGTTTAAACAAGGTGTTTATTTAGTAGCTGGAGCTAGGGATCAATGAGCTGTGTCAACTGGAACCTCAGACTTTGCCTTTCCAGTGGTGTAGAAGTGCAATGTATGCCAATGCAGGTCAAAGTGCGTTATGGTGGTAAATGCCAAAGATATAAACAGTGTTCTGTGGCAAAAAAAAAAAAAAATCCCTAACTACTTTTACTTTCTTGCAGAGGTTGATAAAGAGTGGCAAGGACTTGATGAGAATGTTGCCCATGTCCCCTTCTTCGTGGAGCGCTACTCTGAGGCTGAAATGATTAAAAGGTCACAGATGTTTTACGAGCTTCTTAATAAGAGGAGATCTGTCAGATTTCTCAGTGATGAGCCAGTCCCCAAGGAGGTTATCGATAATGTCATCAGAACAGCAGGTATGGTACCAAGTGGTGCAAGGTCTGAAGAAAAAATAAAATCAGTATTGCTGTTAACTGAGTAAAAGTGATGTGGAATTGCCATTTGGCCTCTGGTTTTCCTAGATTCACCTGTAGCCATAATGAATGACCACCCATTGATTAATTGGAAATTACTTAGCTGGGGACTAGCATTGAGAATTCTCAATTCCTTTGTATTTGCAGTGCACCCAAAAGGGAAAAAGAGCATTTCAACAGCATAAAACAAAACATTTCATTTTCAAGCTTGAAAAGATGTTATTTAAAACTAAATTGATGTACAGTTTAGTGATACATCTTTCAAACAGAAATATTCAAGTGTTTTCTCAAAAATGCCAAACCATTTATACTTCACATTCTTTAAAATTTCATTCATTATGGTGATATTTATTGTGTGTAGGGTTTGTTGGTTGTTTTTATTCCCCCAAACAAATCGATTAAATTGTCCCAGCCACATGAAATATTTCAGTTGACATAAGCATTTGGGGTTTATTATGGGGAAAAAAGTTTCAGCTGAAAAAAACACTTTGCCAGTCCTTTCAACATGAGTGACAGGTCCCTGTTGTATATGACTGGAGAGTTATGCTGAGGACCCTGACTGAAGCTATTTGATTGAGTGTCAGAAAATAATTTTCCTTTTTTTTTTTTTTTTTTTGAGAATTTACATGTTTCAAATCATTACTTTAATGTCCTGGCCTAATCTTGTCTCTACTTTAATAATATTGACCTCAGCCAGGAGTGGTTTTGACCCTCATTATTTCTCTTCTGTGAACCAGTTACTGTTAGTATAGAAAATATCCACAAGCTGCATTAGAGAAAAGTTCAGTAGCCTCTAGCAGGATTAATAATATAGAGATTCTGAGCAATTGATGTGCATTGTTTTCCCTTTAAAATCTGTAAGCAGTTTTGTTACTGCACTGTAACAAGTCTCCATCTTCCTCTAATTAGCTGGGAGTCATTAAAACACTGAGCATGTTTTGGCAAATGCAGCAAAGCGAACAAGCCTGGAGTGCAAATGAAGTGCTTAGTAATCCTGAAAGCTTTGGGTTGTGTGGAGGAAAAGAAAACAAAGCAAACCATAAATGTCAATGGTTCTTACCCAAACCTGAGGAGAAGCAAGGTTCACGGTATAAACACATTTTAATATAAAAGATAGTTCAAGCTGCTTATTCAATGTTTCTTAAACTGAAATCAGTGCTTAGGTATGCAAATATGGTATGTGTTCAAGACCCTCAAATATTTTTAAATGTATGAGGGGGTAGAGAGTAGAACAGTCTCCTTAACCTATTTCTCTGTGAGCTTGTACAGATAACTATTTTTCAGCTCTGGATTTTCATTTGCTAGGCAGTTAAAATATTCTCCAGTGGTGTCAGTGTGTAATAAATAGTCAAGGCAGAATAAGCAAGTGCGGAATTAATGTGTGCACACCTACATACACCAGCTGTCTTTGGGACAACAAACTCAAACTTGTATGCTCTATGGCAGATGTCTGCATTGCGCAGCTCCTCATCTTTGTCAGTCAGTGACAGATTCCTGCGGGTGGTTGCTTAGCCTTGTTTCCCTGAAAGCCATTAGCTTTGCCCTTCAGCTAAAACTGTGTCTCAGAGTTGGTTGCACATTCAGATGGTGTGTTTCTTTGGGTATAATGTTTTGCATTAATGTTACCATGTGTGTTTATTGCACCATAATACTGCTTCGTCATAAGAACCACAAAGGAATTTTTTCAAGTCTCTAACTTTGGTTTAATTGTAAGAGAGCTGTATGAAAGGGCTAACCTCTGTCATTGAATAGAACTTCACATTCTTCAAGAAATAAATGAACAGGATTGTCTGACAGAACTGGTCTTGGTCCTTTCCTTCCTTTTCATCTCATCAACTTGCTTTCCCGTTGCCCTGCTGGTCAGGCTGAAAGCCCACAAGGAAGAGCTGATACCTCTCATTGCGCACCTTCCTTCAGCAATGTGCCAACCGGGTTTTCATCTTTCCCTGTTTTTGTACTAAGGTACTTCACCCAGTGGAGCGCACACCGAGCCCTGGACCTTCGTGGTAGTGCAAGATCCATATTTAAAACACAAGATTCGTGAGATCGTAGAAGAAGAAGAAGAAATCAACTACAAAAAAAGGATGGGAGACAGATGGGTTAATGATCTGAAAAGACTGAGGTATGAAAAAGTCAGTTGGCTAAGGGGTTTGAAGGGAGCTGTGTTTTTGGTCTAGGAAAGACTATATTGGGAAGTTTTAGTCATGCTTCTTATTTTTTTTTCTTCCCCCCCCCTTATTTTCTGGAAGGAAAAAAACAAACTGAAAATATTCAGCTCAATTTTAAAACCTTGTTTTAACAATATTCTTTTAAGGCCACATTCCTTAAACTCTCCCCAGTTTGCTGGTGCTCTTCAGCTGAATCTGCTAGAACTGAGAACTCTATTCAAGCTTTTTTTTTTTTTTTTTGTTTGTTTAAACTGATAATCCTTTGCAGTAAGTGTTCTAAACTCCAGTCTACTGTGATAATTGTCATGTACCATTAGTGCCCCTTTGCAGACAGTAAATGTGATTTACGGCAAAGTGAAAAAGTTGCAAAATAAATGTCTTAAACATTATTCTTTTGCAGAACAAACTGGATCAAAGAGTACTTGGACACTGCTCCCTATCTGATCCTTGTTTTCAAGCAGGTATATGGGCGGCTTCCAAATGGCAAAAAGAAGACCCATTACTACAATGAAATCAGTGTTTCTATTGCATGTGGTATCCTGCTTGCTGCACTCCAGGTACGCTGACAGAACTGACATACTGGAAGTCAATATATTGGGTTGGCTTACATACCAAGACTGCCCAAATGAGGGTGGAACCCAATTTAGATTTTAACATTATCTGCCCTCTGGATTACTCCAATTCCTGGCAATACGTCTTAGTTTTGAGTTTTAAAGTTATTCTGCACAGGCCCACAGCTGAGAAGGCAATTCCTATCCTCAGCACTGGTTAACAAGAGGAAAAATGTAGTGCAGCTTACTTCCAGAGTTGTCACTCTTTTTCTGGCACAGGCTTCAGCCCCTGTGGTTTCTGCCTTGTGCTGACAGGGTCTGCAGATTACCCAGGCACGGCTGTACAGTGCCACACTGGCCCCTTCTTTTCAGTAACCCTGAAAAATGACTTGACCCCAAATAATTTTTAGTATGCAATGCTGGGGGAAAAAAAAAAAAAAATCAGTGATGTATTTCATGGAACAGGCTGTACTATTTCAATCAGTCTTTCCAAGGCACTTCTGAAAGCAAACTGATTTCTAAAGCTCAGCATGTTTGACACCAGCCAGTTGGATTTTCTCGGTGGTTTCTCAGTGCTCAGTTCTGCTTGTTGTATCTGATGTCCTCATACAAGTGTTTAAATAGTGAAGCTATTCTGATTGCTAGCTTGGCCTGTCAGCAGGGTAACAGCGAGGTGCCACCTCTTGTATTAGGCCAATTTCCTAAGAGGAACTGCCAGTTCTTCTCCATTCTTTTTTGAGTGACACTTCCTTGCCCACATTGCTGCTCCTCAGGAGGGTCTTCAGAATGGGAGATCTGAGAAGTGAGCAGTGCAGAAGTACATTGTTGGGGTGTTGCTGCTCTGCAGCTGCACAGGGCTCTGTATTTTCCCTCTGGGGTTGAGAGCAAAGGGGGTGCACAGGGAATGGGGCAGAACCAGCACTGGCACCTAGCGCCTTAGTGGGAAGCAATAGAAATGACAAGGCTCCGCTTTCCTCTGAGCCAGCTCACCATCAGGGGAGACTTCTGAGGCTCCTTACCAACTGTCAGGAGTAATGCTGTCTCTTTCCCAGCCCTTAGAAATTAATTGAGAATGTTAAAGGACACAGTGCCATGGACTCATAACGTTTGGCACCATCACTATTAGCTCTTCTCTTCAAAAGATCATAGAGGTTGCTTAACATGAGAGGCCCATTGCCTGAGCACCTCTCCCTGGGCTGTCTTTTATATCTCAAAGCCTCCTAAAATGCTTATGTTACATAGAGACTGGAATCCACATGCTCAACTCTCAGGAAGTGCCATAGGTGTGGAATTATATCTTGGATATTGTCAGCTCTTTACTCTTTGATGAATTGTTTAGCTTTGTAATGAGATTTCTTATGAGAGGAGTGATGCATACACTTACTTTGGGGTTCTGATGTAAGCCCGAACGTCAGCCACTGTGAGAGATGGCAAGTCTCCTGTTACAAGCTCTGAGGCAGAGCGTGTCCCCCTGTCCCTGTGGGGTACAGCTCTTGAGCAGGAACAAATGGTTGCAAAGCTGTAAGGAATCTTCCTGTCAGCTGTATGGGGGCAAGAACCAAAGCATTTCTCTGTACGAGCCAGAGAACCCCATGGGATGATATTTTAGTCATAACCCCACAACTGCCTCTTAACTTCTCTGTAGCCATGGGGGCCCCATTCCACTGAATGCTCTGAGCGGGCTCCTGCTGTGCAACATAAAGACATGTCAGGCAGGACAGGGCTGTTTCCATTAGCCTGTGCTGTTGCTGTGGTGGAAATGCTGTACTTTTCTGTAAGCAAAGCAGGCATCTTTTATGGTACCATTGAGGCTATTAGTAAATCAGATGTTCCAAAGCCTGCAGAAGTCTAATGAAGCAGCATTTCTGGGCTAGTCAATATGAGAATGTGTATAGGTGTCTTGGTTTTGTCTGGGACAGAGTTAACTGGGGGGAGCGATGAACACCTACCCAGAGCACAGCTCTCTGTCTCACCCTGTTGCTGTCTGTCTTGCTGCAGAATGTGGGGCTGTACACAGTGACCTCCACACCCCTCAACTGCGGCCCCCAACTCCGGGTGCTGCTCCAGCGCCCAGCAAACGAGAAGCTACTCTTGCTGCTCCCCGTTGGCTATCCCAAGAAGGATGCTACCGTGCCTGCGCTGACCCGAAAGCCACTGGAAGACATTATGGTGGTGATGTGAGCCCAGTGCCACAAGGAGAGAGCACATCCCTGCTGCCAAGCTAGTAAGCAGCAGCCTGCTGAAGCTGTCCCTGATGTTGCTGTGTATCATCCTCCTGCGTCACTGCTGCTCTGGCTGCTTACACCTGTATTTCTTTTAGTGCTAGTAATCATGGTGGCTGCTTCTACTAATAGCAGCGAGCAGTCAAGCACTGTGCATTTGACGGGTGCTATTACCAGTGAGACCAGGCAGTGGTTCCAGGGGACATGTACGGTGGCATTTAAATGACCTTCATCACTCAATTTTTCTTACGCATTGTAGAGACAAATCTTTTCTTGGATTGGAATGTATATTTTCCTTATACTTTTGCAACTACCATTACACAGTTATTTTCACTTCAGAATTGTAATGGAGGTTGTATTGAAAGATATAGAGGTCCAACTCAGCTGTCTTATCTTGATCAGTGCATAGTGTTTAAACACCCCTTCCTCTTCACTGTGTCCAGTTCTGTGTAGGAGGAAGCTATTTTTCTCATTTACAGTAGCATTTTCCCTACTTAATTGATCTCAGAAAACTTGTCCATACCTGGCTTTCTTAAACTATTGTTGGTACAAGTGTCTTTGGTTGGGTGAGACCTAGTAGGAAGAAGGCATCCGAGTAATTTCCTTGTTACCATTTATTTATACATGTTCCAGGCACAGATAAATCATATGGCAGCTATCAATTGTGCCTCCAATATTTGCTGCTTCCACTGGAAGTGGCCCAAAGGAAAATACTATTCTGGTTATCCTGTTAACCCCCTGAAATTTAAACTGCTTGAGAGACTCTGACACATGATGTGCTTTCATGTCACACCAAATCAGGAATATTTTTGGTTTATTTTAAGGCTGCTTCCCACAAAAGCAATGCTCCCCACTAAAAGCCTTGCCTGCAGGCAAGATGTGAATGGGCACCGGTGGGAGTTGCTCACTGGAGGGGTGGATGCCACTGATACCTGCGCTGGCAGAGCCCCCCTGTGGGATTGTGATTTCTGACGGCTTTGGGAACAGCACAACATGAAAACACTGAAAGAGAGAGCTCCTTCCCTGAAGCTGGCTATATGCTGTTAAATGCTTTCTCACCCTGCTCTCTGCTGCATGTAATTTCAAGCAAATTCAGCCAAATTGGCATCAGCTGCTTTGTGTATTGGTCAAGTCAACTTGTCCCACCTTGCCTGAAGTCAGTCCTATTTATCATGACCTGCTGACAGCTGAGCAAGTGGAAGGGAGGGGATAATATTTTGCAGAGGTGTAGCTTTTTTTTGTGGTGTCAATGACTGACACCCAATGAGCAAAACTATTTTTCTCTTTGTCAGACCATTTTTCTGGTATTCAGCAGGCGTGGCTGTGTGTTCACCTGTTTCACTAGCCCCGTTTCACATCCTCAGTGGTACAGCAATGGCAGGAAGAGTTTCTGATACAGTCCTAGCCTGAATTAGGCTTTTATAACTACAGGAAAATAATAATAATAATAAAAAAAAATCCCATGTCCACACACTCGCGAGGTCTAAAACATAGTTAAGGAGAGGGATAAGCTGAAGCAAGTCAAGGCCAGCCAGCTACAGGTCCCCAGGCATCAGGAGTAAAGTCCTGTTAAAGTCGCTGTAGCAAGGTTTCCTTCTATGCAGATGCTGCTCTGCCATATCAGACCCCTTTGCAAAGCAGTTTATATCTGCTGTAACTATATATAAACCCTGTTACATTTGTTTTAATTCAGAGTTCACATCAATAGAGGGCTGCACTTCTGTCACTTTGTGATCTCTTCTATAGCTACAGAAATAAACTGCTTCTGCCTGGCCTTGGTCTGCAAAATAGAGGGCATGTTTACTCTGTGACAGCACTCAAAGAAGCTTTACCAAATTAATTCAGTTTAAACCAGCATGAGCTTGCATATATAAGGCTATTTCTAGTGCAGTTTAATAACTTTAAAAAGAGAACTAAACCACAAAATATTTTTTTTAGAATAGTCACAATAACGAATTTTGGTATATATCAATAGATCTCTTTATAACAAAAAGGATTAATGGTGGTTTTTTTCTCTCATATGTTGACTCTGGAAACTAACATACATGTAGTAGCAGAAAAAAAGCCAAGCCCTCACACCTACTGGATAGGAAAGATTCTACCCTGGAAAGCACTTCTGGAATCACAAATGTGTATAAAAGATGCATTTCTTTTTTCATTAAAATACCTATTCAAATGCAAATACTCCAGTAGTATTACAACTGCTGATGATGCTGTGGTGACTCTCATAAATCATGTTAGTGCTTCTGTTGTGACAAGCCTACTTGGAATTGCCGCTATTCTCTAATAAGTGTGCAGTCTTTACTTAAAACACAATTTAAATAAGAATATATTTTGCCTTTCCGTGTAGAACATTATTAAATAAAATTAAAATTAGCATCTAAATTGTTTTACACTTAAAGGATTTTTCTTTTGTTTGGGTGAATAAACAATGTTTTTTCAGGAAAAGAACATTCTGGGAGGAATGTCTCCCACACAACCAGTAGGGATTTTATTTTTTGTATTCATCCCTTGTTACCTTTCAAAACAAGATTAAAAGACTTGACAGGATTAGCAAAAGAGGCTGGAACTTGGCATCTCTTCTCATGATACCTTATGGCTACATCTCCCAAAGGCTCTGGACTCAGTCTACCCACCTCTTCTGAGAGGTGGCTAGACTGAAAATGGATGCACCACTTAGATGGGAAGTGAGCCCTTTAACATAGTTCTAAACATGAGTTTTCTAGAATCATAGAATAATTGAGATTGGAAGGGACTTCTAGTGTTCATCCTCTGAAAACCTCTGCTCAAAGCAGGTCTAGTTAGATCAGGTTGCTTAAGTTCTTGTCCAGTTGAATCTTGGAACAACCCTAAGGCTAAACCCAGGTGTCTGAGTGGTGTTCAGACGGGCTTGTTGTCTTGAGGCCTCAAACCAAGCCATTCCCTCCAGCTGCATGATGCAGTGTATGCCACCTCATCTCATTTTAAAAAAAGAAAATAGTACCTCATCTCTTGATGATCAGACCCTCACCAAGTGCTATGTGGAAGTCTTGGTAGAGCACACATTTCTTTGAGTCACGCTTGTGTCCTTTTATCAAAGCATGGCTTTTCCATACGGGTAGTTATTGTCCTTGTTCACAATCATGTTGTTGGAGCTCAGAACCACGGCAAACTGTCCATCTCCTCCCATTGCTTGGATGGCTAAATTGGCATTGGTTTCAGTTCGCCCTTGAATACTAAGCTGCAAGCTATTGCAGCTAACCTGGTGCTTCATTAACAATCCAGATGGTTGTGAAGTGGGGCAGGGAGGCACTTACTCCTGGCACAGCACCATCTTACCCACTCCATCACCTTCCTTTCCAGCCAGGTGAGCCAGAACCCCATTGATTCTGATAGAAAGTAATATTTTTTTAGCCTTAGTGATTCAGAGTACAAGGTCTGAGGACACTTACGTTGGTATGTATGCCCATCTCCTCCATAGCTTAGAACTTACTTATGTGACTGAGTGTAAAGTTCCTATAAGCTAGTTGGACTGTAGTAACCATCTAAGTGCACTGCTCTCATCTTGAAGAAAACAGCAGTTTGTCGATATTTAGCTTCTTTGCAAATAGTTTAGAGCTAAGTGCTACTATCTTGCTTTTGATGGAGATAACTGTGCCTGAGAACAGCTACTGGGTCTGAGCTGGTGCACAGGGATGTATTAAGCTGAAGTTTATCAGCAGTGTATTTGAGCACTTCTTGCTAGTACAATGAAAGCAAAACAGCCTCTGGGTGTAAGCAAGTTTTAATGTGGTGCTGTGTATTCCAGATGAACAGAAGCATGTGAGCCATAGCCTTATACCCATAACCTGGTTTTGTGCTGACTAAGATGCACCACTTCAAAGACCTTTAAGCAAGCAGATGTGCAGCCAGCATCTGATTGATTTGTTTCTTTAATTACCACATCGAACTCATGGACTCATAAAAAATGAATCTTGAGAAAGCGTCCAGCTCATACTGCAAGGGAGGATCAGCTGTACATGAATGCCAGGCACTGACAAAACCTGAATCCACAGCACTAATCCACTGCTCCCAGCAAAACACTTCAAAGAAGTAAAAACTCAAAAGCTAATTCTACCAGCCCATACAAGTGCTAGGAAGTTTTCTTTTCCAGAAGGGCTCAGCCTTGGCTTCATGTTGCTGTCACTGATCAGACCTCCTTGGACATCATTGGGAAGAGGCTGGCTGCTGTATTGTTTTTGAAAATTTCCACCCACCTGAGCTTAGTCATCTGCTCTGCTTTTGCAGTACAGACGTTGTGTTTGTGACTCATAACTCTCAAGGCATTTCATTATTTTTGTCTAACATTACCTATATCAGACACCTCAGAGAGCTATAACCTCTCAGCCGAGTCTTTGCCCATATAGATGGAATTTCCCTGTTCTTGTGGACTGTAAATAATGAGAATACTTAATGGCATGAAGGCTGAGCAACAAGTACATTCAAATTTAAGATGGAGGAGAGTCCTTGGAGCTTGAATCAGCACAGCAGCAAGTTACCAGTTACACACAACCCCCAAGAGGATGTGGTGTTTATGTATGTGTTATCGCTATTAACCTTAGCTACAAGACTGGAACTGCATTGAACTAGTTCTGACAGAAACACAAGCAGTCCAAGACTCAGGTAACGCACTCTTAGACATGGGAAAGCAACACCGATCAGTGAGGTGGGTAATGACTGTAATCTCGAGGCATCAGTTACCAGGTTTTTTGAGACATAGCATTGAGAGAGGAATTGTTTGAAGGATTTTTAGGAGGACAGCTATGAGGTATTCGGAGTTATTTATGAGGAACTGTCCTGAGCCTGAGGGTAAGATCTTGTAACGGAGATCACCAGTGACTCAGCTTGAAGGGGTGAGACAAGAGTCAGACAGTTGCCCTAGAATGTGACAGGGTTGGTGGAGTGGTCCTGAGGAACACCTCTTGCAAATACCAAGTTCAA